GTGTTTGTACGACCGCGTTTAATTTTAGCATGCCAGTCGATAATAGTTGATTTCCCTGGTGCAGAGTCTTCGTAACGCTTATTAAGCCACTGTTCGGCTTCAACGGTATTTTTCCCCATCAAAAAACAATGTTTAATCGATACACGAAATTCTTTTCTAACCATCGTTTTGAAAATTACAAAACTGGGGTCACTAAAACCACTGCAACCTGTAAACTAATCATCAAAATGTCATGAAATTTTGACATGTGTCGTTTGAAGAATGCTACTATCTAGAAATCATATAGGTTTGTCAACAGTGTTGCCATATATGTGTCAGACCGGAGACTTATCGAGTGACGTGTTACTCGTAAAAAGTCTGCTCCAATTTTTATATAGTTGTTAAGATCATTCATGTCGCGGCGCTTTCGAGCATCGAAGATTCGATTACGAAGGGCAACGTAATAAATATATAGAGAATATGAGAATTTATCAGATTCTGAAAAATGTCGTGGTTTTTATATTGCTGCGCGAAACTATGTAAATCGAGCAAATATTTGAAAATCGCAGAATGAAAATCATAATGACAAAGCGTGCTTGGTTGCGTACTAAAGTTTACGATTTTTGTTCCACGTCCAATGTCGAAATCGATCTTTTAATCAATCTGCAAAACTAGTGCACAATGTAGGCACTTTTTCTCGAATATCGGAGAACTCGGAACACATTCGAATTCTAAATTGAAGTTTGGAATTTCGAATACTTTTAGCTACATTCACAAGTAAATGGAAGTTCTGCAACGAGAATTAACATAACAGTAAAGTTCAATTAGAAACTCGTTTGCTAACTCCGAATGTCCTCGCTGTCATCCAATCCTCATTAACATTCTCTGTAACATGAACACGTACGCTAATCACTCTAACAACGTATAAAACGCAGATTCTACTGTACATATAACGCTGGTCACAAGTTTTTACAATTGAAAACATGAATTTATTTATTTATTTATTTATTAACGGGCGCGAGTGCTTGGGACAAGAAGAATCATAAGGGCACATGTGAGAGACCTCGTAATGACGCAAGATACATAATAAGGTTAATTCGAAAATGTGCAAATAAAATAGAAAAATTACATAAATCCTTGAAATTATTAGAGGTGTTTAAGAGCTACCGATGATACATTTGAAACAAACTGGGCAAGAGATTATTTAAAACTTTACAACATTTAAATATTATTAAATATGCCGAGCGTAAAATAAGTTTCTTAAAAAATCTCCGGTTTCCGAGCCTTAATTTCAGCGACGCAGTCTTCGCAACTGGCTTCTTTAAACCAAATCGAACTCGGTGCTCGTTTCATGAACCTTCGAGGCACCGTACCAATTATCAATATTACAGTCCGCGCAATCGATATGATATCGACAAGCATTTAGCAGCAGTCGAGTCCCTGGCAGATGGGTTTCAAGCCGCTATCGGCGATCCATCATTCGAAGTTCTCGGCTGATTAAGCGGCTGGTTGCCACATGTGGCCACGGCTCGATCCCCGCGATCGTCTCCCGGCTAATTACTTCGAGTGGTATTCTTATCGGAGGAGAGAAAAAAAATAGAAGGGAGAAGAAGAGGCGAGGAAGGAATCTGGAATACGGCTGTCTGAATACCTTTTCAGGGGCTCCATTGAAAACGGCGCGATTGCGAGTGAGAGAGAGAGAGAGAGAGAGAGAGAGAGAGAGAGAGCACAGTGGTCCTAAGAGTCCGGGCCCGTGTGTCCCCGTCAAGACGGAAGCCGTCGACGATAACGCGAAATTGGTATTGGAAGATCGTGGCTCGGATACCGCGACAGCATTAAATTGGAATCTGAAATCGATACGCTCGGCTCGTCGGCTCGGGCCGCGAGCCGAGCTTCTGCATAGGAAACGATCGGACGACGGTGTCTGCGGGACTGTAATTGAAGAATTACCGACGCCGGCCGACGCTTTCCTTCGACCGGCGTCGCGACGCTTCCGCCGCGGAGACGTCGCGGACACACACGGCCCGGCGCGCCGAGAGCCGGACAAATGGCGCCCGGACAGCCGCCATTTGTCGGTATTAGCCGTCCCAGTATTTCCGGTATCACGGTCCCTCGTGTAATACATTGTGACAGCTGTGACTGCCATTATACCCTTGCTACTTGTTACCCGGTCGGATTTCTTTAAGCACTTATCTCGCGGCTTTCGCTTCGTTTCTCTTTTCCGCTCTTCCATTTCTTTTTTCTCCCAACGTCGTCGTGGTTTCTTTCGGGATCAGCCAGAGAAAAGAGAATTTTATTTCTATTCTTTGCGGTTCGAGAGCCCCGGATGTTCCGGAGGAACTTTTCCCGTTGTATTGCTCGCGCTGGAGAGTATTAATGCGTTCGCTGTCGCGCCACCACTCTGAGGAATGTCGCGAAATCTGGTCTTTCTTTAATCCCTTGTTCTACGACTTCTTTCGCGATTACGATTGTTAGGAGTTCCTTGGGGAAAGTAAAATTTGATTTCCATTCGGAAGGAATAAGTTGATCTCTCTCGTATCTGATCGATTCTGGCAGACTTTGATCTTCGTCGGAGGTTTTAAAATTGTTTCCGGTAATATTTGGAAATGTTTTAAGATTGTTCGATGTAATATTTGAGATTGTTTTGAAATTGTTCGAAGTAATGTTTCGAAATTTTTTGAAATTTTCGAAATGTTTTGAAATGTTCGAAATGTTCGAAGTTATATTTGAAATTGTGTTGAAATTGTTTGAAGCAATATGACAATTTTTAGTGCTTTAGCGAAGCATTATGGTAATTTTTAAGTGCTTTAGTGAAGCATTATGGCAATTTTTAGTGCTTTAGTGAAGCATTATGGCAAAGGATCGATTAAGTTTTTAGGGGATTTCGAACAATAATTATTAGAGTATTTCAAAGTAGTTATCATGGGAACGTTGTATGCTCAGCGTAGCGAAATGTTTCCCTCATAATATTCGTAGATTAAACGTTACTTCAATGCTGTGTTTAATAAACACATCCCGTTGCTTTGATACCGGACGCGAATTGAATCCTTAATATCTATATCTAAGTTTCGACTTTAGAGCGCGCGATGTTACGCCCTCGGGGAGAATGTTTAGGGGCTACTGGAAATAGTAATATAAGCGATCCGGCGAGTTTTCCCCCTAAATTACACGGACGTTTCTACAGAAATTATTAGAACACTTCTGAAATTCGAAATATGTACATCTCGCGAAAGCTGTACTTTCTTCGAACCAACATTTCCTTACATCCGAATCAAGACTAAATTGTGTCCGAAATTGTGTCCAAATCGATTGTGAAAAATACCAAGATTAGGCGTTTAAGTTTGAATTAGACTGCGATGGATCCAATTGAGATGAGATTTCAATTATGTCAATATATGATATTTCTAAGAAAGAGAATGAAACCAGAATTAACGAACGAAGTACTCACTGTCTCTTTTGTAGTTTATCATGAAAGTGGCCGAAGGCAGAAAAATTTACGCGTACGAATCCTGTGCATTTGTTGTTCGACGGACATGCATCATCATTCAATGTATGGAACTAATTCATTTTGCTGATAATAATTACGGTACTATTATCGCTTCACGTTTATTACCGTTTTATACCACCGGCCTGAACAACCTGCCGCTTAAATGACAAAAGTGTATAGACAATATGGATGCATACTTTGACGATAATTCCTTATATTTGTAAGTTATCGACCAACTTTTCTTTCTTTTCTGCGAATTTCATCCTTGACAACCTGATATAAACATGATAGATAAAATAGCTGCTTCAAAGATCTTCTATTTAGCTATAACATTCTATTAATCAGAATATGTTGTCTCGTTAGAAAAAAAACGTCGTCTTGAAACATTGAAATATATGATCTCGAGATAAAACTCATATGTATTACAATAATTATATCATTTTAATTATTATACCATTAACCCTTTCGCTACGGGCGGATTTTCCGCCGCGGTACTTCTGCTGGACGGCGCGCTGCGACATCGCTGCACGCTACAAGACGCCGATCGTTGCGGGGGTACCGCAGCGGAGAACCCGCCCGTAGCAAAAGGGTTAATCCAAATAAAGTTGAACAAAATTGAAAAAAATAAGGCATATCTATTTATCCGTTGTTGAGAGAAAAATAAGGTGAATTAGCTTTCTGCAGTAAGCACTGACTTTATTCGCTACAAACGATCGAACTTATGGAGGGCCACTATAGTGGCCCTTAGTACCTCGATGGCATCTTATGGAGGGCCACTATAGTGGCTCGTAGTATCGAAAGGGTTAAAGATATCAGAAGATAGCGTGTTTACAATTTTACACAACAATTCGAGCATGCGTAAATTGCTTTCGAAGTGAGTGCCGCGTTTGCTCACACCGGATCAAAAACAACAACGTGTCGACGCTTCGGAGCGCGGTTAAGCGATGGTTAAATTGAACGAATTGCGCTTCGAATTGCTTCCCCACCCACCGTACTCTCCAGATCTAGTCCCCAGCGGCTACTGGCTTTTTGCAGACATTAAAAAGATGCTCCAGGGAAAGAAATTTGGCTCGAATGCTGAAGCGATCGCCGAAACGGAGGCCTATTTTGAGAACAAAGACGAATCGTTCTACAAAAAAGGCGTCGAAAAGTTAGAGGAGCGTTGGAACGAGTGTATCGCTCTTGAAGAAGAGTACGTTGACGAATAAAGTCGAATTTCTAAAAAAAAATTTGTTGTTCTTAGCTAGACCGGAGACTTATCGAGTGATGTGTTACATTTAGCGGAACAAAATAGCACGGCCATGAAAACCGTCGTCGAAACAAGTAGCAACGCGGCGGGAGATTTAACAGGCGCTTAAGCAGCGCGTAAAACGTGCAGGATGATTCGAGGGCCGTACGGCGTGGCCTAACAGATATTGTTGAAAGAAAATCGGTGAACGCGCGAGAGCTCGTAAACGCGACGGGAACAGGCACGCCGGGCCAGTTTACGAGTGATTCTTGGGCCGGTAATCACGTCGTTTCTTCCTTGTTCCAGTTCCGCCGCACAAAATCGTGATCGTCGATGACGTGATCGTCGATGACTCCGGGATCGTACGGGACAAGGTGGTCGGCCCGTACAAGGAGGGCGACACTCTGCGGCTATACTGCGACGTGTACGGCGGTGAGTATCCATGCGACGTTACAATTGCTCGCGTTTCCGTGGTCTGTTCCGGAGCACTTCCGGCAACACCCGTTGCCCCGAAGCAATTCCAAAAACCAGTCGAGCTTCCCTGGACCGTCGATGACTCGCTTACAGTGGAAGCCATCGCTCTAATTGCTAGCCTCGCTGCTCGACCACTTTTCGATTTCGATCGGCACTCGGATAATATTCTTCTTATTGTCCGTTGGTTACGGATTTGGTGCAGTTGTGGCACAAATAAAACGTTGGAAGCATTGAACTCGAAAGAACCGTAAACACAAGATATAGGATTTATTATTAAAATTTATTTATTAAAATTTATTTACTAATTTATTTATTTATTATTTATTATTATTTATTTATATTTTACTAATTCATTTATTAAAACGTTGGAAGCATTTAATTCGGAAGAGCCGTAAACACAACTAATCTGCATTGTTTCGTAAAAAATACAAGATAGGATTTATTATTAAAATTTATTTATTAAAATTTATTTACTAATTTATTTATTTATTATTTATTATTATTTATTTATATTTTACTAATTCATTTATTAAAACGTTGGAAGCATTTAATTCGGAAGAGCCGTAAACACAACTAATCTGCATTGTTTCGTAAAAAATACAAGATAGGATTTATTATTAAAATTTATTTATTAAAATTTATTTACTAATTTATTTATTTATTATTTATTATTATTTATTTATATTTTACTAATTCATTTATTAAAACGTTGGAAGCATTTAATTCGGAAGAGCCGTAAACACAACTAATCTGCATTGTTTCGTAAAAAATACAAGATAGGATTTATTATTAAAATTTATTTATTAAAATTTATTTACTAATTTATTTATTTATTATTTATTATTATTTATTTATATTTTACTAATTCATTTATTAAAACGTTGGAAGCATTTAATTCGGAAGAGCCGTAAACACAACTAATCTGCATTGTTTCGTAAAAAATACAAGATAGGATTTATTATTAAAATTTATTTATTAAAATTTATTTACTAATTTATTTATTTATTATTTATTATTATTTATTTATATTTTACTAATTCATTTATTAAAACGTTGGAAGCATTTAATTCGGAAGAGCCGTAAACACAACTAATCTGCATTGTTTCGTAAAAAATACAAGATAGGATTTATTATTAAAATTTATTTATTAAAATTTATTTACTAATTTATTTATTTATTATTTATTATTATTTATTTATATTTTACTAATTCATTTATTAAAACGTTGGAAGCATTTAATTCGAAAGAACCGTAAACACAACTGATCTGCATTGTTTCGTAAGAAATACAAAATAGGATTTATTATTAAAATGTATTTATTAATTTACTAATTTATTTATTTATTATTTATTATTACTTATTTATATTTTACTAATTTATTTATTTAAACGTTGGAAGCATTCACTTCGAAAGAACCGTAAACACAACTAATCTGCATTGTTTCGTAAAAAATACAAGATATGATTTATTCAAAACTTTATGCGATTTTTACTATATGCCGAACAACCATATATCGTTGTTGGCTACGCCTGAGGAAATATTATCCTCTTAATGTTTTTAATAAGTTTAAGTTTTACTTCTCAATTTATATTTCTCCATTTAAATTCTCTAATTATCAGGTTTCATAAAATTTTCATAATCTCTTTTAGAACTTTGCGAAACTAAATCAGCCAGGGTTTTGGCATTTCTCGCTCCAATATGCACAGCTCTTTTGATCGGCGCTAATCGAGTTAAAGAAGTTCAACGAAAAGTTCCTCGGCGAAACATTTTTATGATTTTAGTAACTGAAAAAGAAAAAATCGGTCCATTTGGCTAGCTTGATAATTAATTTTTATTTAAATTTCTATTTCACTCCTGTCTCGTGAAATTTACGCAGATGATTTTTACTTCCGTGAAGGCCCGCGATCTGGTTCTGTCAGTATATTTTCATGCTCTCATACTTCACTCGCAATGGATAGCTCATTTGCTGTTAGGAATGAAAGCGAAGCTGCATAGGAACGTTGTGTTCTGATTTATGACGTTATTATGTATGTACGAAGCTCGGTATTCGTACAAGAGTCATTCAGTAATGCATCGTTACTGTGTTAAAATATACACTTAACAAGAGCCAGGAATGTTGGCTATTTCATTGGTTTATTTTTTCATGAATAATTTCGGCCACACACAGGATGCACAACCATCAAAATTCTTCGAAACTGAAGTACTTTATTTAATCTTGCTTCTTTCATTTCATAGAAGACTGTTCTATATAAAACTCGAAATGAAATATAAGTTGTTGTATTGGACAAATAACGTCCGCTTTACTAAACACTAGGTTTACGGAACCCGTCAAAATGGCGGGTCGCTAATTTCTTAAATTAACGATTATTCAGATTGTAAAGATACATTTACGTTGAGTCAATGTATCCATTACTCGCAGCAAATATTGCAATAACACTCGTTAAGAACCGAAATAAACGTGTGTTTGTTCTATAAATTTATTCGTTTTATAAATTTATTAGCTTTATAGTACTAATATAAAACCGCTGCTTTTATTGCTCCGTAAATCTAGCGTTAAATTATCAAATAATTACAAATTATACAAATTAATCGAGTCAGTCTTTCTCTCCACACGGATTTCTACACGAAGCTTCAGTGCGCTTCATGCTCAACACGCATACACGCGAACAAAGTACGCACGAAAACGCGGTAAAAACAGAAATTCGCAAAAAAGGTACGAGCACCGCGAAATTCGATGAAGTATAATCTAACGGATGGAAACTCACTGGCCAAATTCACTGATAACACGAGAAACATCGTTAACCGACCGGTGGGATACGGTTCGTTAACGATCGCCCCGAAAAAAACCCGTGAAATATCGGTGCTCCTTCGCCGAGCAATAGAGTGATTAAGTATTACTTTATCCGGCCATCACGTCGCCACATATCCGGTTTCTATTTCATCAGAGCCCACGGGGCGCGCGTAAAATCCCCCCATTGTAAGCGAGCCTCCCGGTCCGTTCGAAATTTCCCTGTCACGGGAATACTTACATATTCCATCAATCCCGGCAATATTATTCATCCGGGCGGATGAATTCGCGTGGCGGAAAGCGGGTCAGGGGATCGCTGAAAAATCGAAAGAATTAATGTTCCACGTTCGCGCGCTAAAAGAGAATTTAATGAGTGAGCGGCGCGCGCGGTCGGCGGACGGGAAAAAACGGAAGTGGAAAAGAAAAGAATTTTGATAAAACAAAAAGCCGAAGAAAGAGGGAAAAAAGGGCGCGCGGAGTATCCGCTCGGGTTTCGAGCGTCGACCAGAAAGAAGAATTTCCGACTTTCTTTCTCTCCACTGTTTTACAGTAATGTCTCCCTTACTGATGCTCAGATTGTCCACAAAAATGGACAATTTGGGAACAGGAGATACGATTATTAGAGCCTAATATAGCCTTGAGGCTCGTTTTTATAATTGTGGACAATTTATAACTATAAAAATAAACCGCAAGGCTCGAATAATCGTATCTCCTCTTGCCAAATTGTTCAGTTTTGGGGGCAATCTGCGCGTCAATTAGAGAGACATTACTGTATTTGTTCCCGTTCTACGACCCGGAGTGTTCTTGTTTTCCCGCGAGCAGAGCGCGCGCGGTCGGCGGACGGAAAAAAACGGAAATGGAAAAAAAGAATTTTGATAAAACAAAAAGCCGAAGAAAGAGGGAAAAAAGGACGCGCGGACTATCCGCTCGGGTTTCGAGCGTCGACCGGAAAGAAGAATTTCCGACTTTCTTTCTCTCCACTGTCGTTTTACAGTAATGTCTCCCTTACTGACGCTCAGATTGTCCACAAAAGTGGACAATTTGGGAAGAGGAGATACGATTATCCGTGCCTTGCGGCTCGTTTTTATAATTGTTGACTTTTTTCATTGTATCTCCTCTTGCCAAATTGTCCAGTTTTGGGGACAATCTGCGCGTCAATTAGAGAGACATTACTGTATTTGTTCCCGTTCGACGGTACGGAGTGTTCTTGTTTTCCCGCGAACGAACGCGGCGGTCTCACGGTGCTCTCGAATCAGCGGCGCGATTGATGCGTTTTCACAGGTAAGCCGGCCCCGATGGTGTCCTGGCACCGCAACGACACGCTGGTCACCGACAAAACCGTGACCTTGCGGGACGGCGTCAGGCGCAGCGAGCTCGTTATCAAAAATTTAGGTCGGGACGACGTCCGCGCCGTGCTCACCTGCAAAGCAATCAACAACAACATGCAGGACCCGCTCGCCGCGGACGTTCGCGTCGACATGCATGGTAAGTACACGGAAAACTGTTGCCCGCGACTTTTCGTTCTGTCACAACACCACCGTGCCCTCCATTTCTCCGTCCATAGTTGCGGTCTACGGCGGTCTTCGCGCGGTACGCTGCACTCATACTAATTAACCCTTTCGCTCCGAACGACGGATATATCCGTCATCCATATGAACACTCGCGGAGCCGAACGCCGGATATATCCGACATCCACATGATCGCCCTCTGGGGACGAACGTCGGATATATCCGACATGCTGGTAAAATCGCGACCTAATTTTTGGACTGCACCGCCTCTTGTTACTATTGCGTGAATCTTTTGACGAAACAAACAAACGACAGTCTGAAATAAACGACACACCATTCAAGTTATATTTGTTCTACCTGCATTTCCCATTATTATTGTGTTACATGTCATAAAGGGATAGAAAATCGAAAGTACTAACTTTAGGACTAATTATTATGTATTATGTTTTGTGTATTATGAATATTATGTTTTATTTTATTACTGTATATTATATATTATTTCTTCACTTTTTCCATTGTTAATGAAACTTTTTTTACCTATTAAATAACTTTGTACCTTATACAGAAATTATAACTATATTGTTTTAAAGAAAAATCCCTTTTCTTCCCAAATACACTATCCACGCGCAATGTGCACAATTTCGGCGGGTAGTTCCGTTCAGGAGGGGCGCTACGGCGGACTGAACCGCCGTAGCGAAAGGGTTAATATTCTGCGGCATACGTGTATCGGTCGTTCAGTTACAGAGTTCGGTTACCTCGCGTCTCGTTTTCGCTTCGGGCAACTTAGTCCCTTAGTCCCGAATGGATTTTTATACTCGTTCTTTGCGCGGTTCGACCTTGAAAATATTTTCAGCGAAAGTATTTTTCCGATAACACTATCCGACGAAATGAAACTTTTTTTCTGATTTCCCATAGCCACTATGAAATTCTTATAGAGCTTCGATCTACGATCAAGCATCCGAAAATCGAATTGCTCCATCACCCTCGGTTTTCGAAAAAGATGAGCTTTTGTAAAAACTCGAAATTTTCCGACAGAAACGAGGTATTGCATGAAAAGTACAAACGTTAGAAAGTTCTCTATAATCGGTGTTAAAAGATAGAGGATAGTTTCCCGAATATAGTGACATGGAATTTATTAATTATTTTTGGTCCTAGGTAGCAATAAATTAATGTCAAAGTTTAAAAAATTGTCGACGTGCGTATCGATTTTAAGCACGTTTTTTGTCGAAAATTGAGAATGATGGAGCAATTCGGTTTTCAGATCCTCGATCGGGGAGTGAAGCTCTACAAGAATTTCATAGTGGCTATAAGAAATCAAAAATCGCGTGGGACAGTGTAATCAGAAAGTTGTTTTATTCTATCTTCTGAAGAAAATGTGTTTACAAGATTGTTTACTGTGTGCACAGAAAATAACGAGAATGTTTAATTTGTGACACGATTTTCTTTTGGTCTAAAATTTTTTGTATTCAATAATGTCAGTTATGATTCTTTTATGTGTAATGAATTTTAGAATACAATGAGAACGTTCTATTCATCTAGTTGCACAGAGAAAGTCAGGATATAATCTCTGAAATTTGTATTGGAAGACAAATGTAGCAAAATACAATAAATTTTCCCTAATTGCCCTCAGCTTGTACACAAAAATGGACAATTTGGGATGAAGAGATACACGATTATTCGAGTCTTGTGGCTTGTTTTTATAGTTGCCGATTGTGTCAACAACAGCTTCGTACTTTCGCAATTATTTTCACACATTTTTTTAAGCAACCAAGTTTCTCGCAATACCTCGAATACTTCATTTAATAATTGACTCCCAAAAGGCAATATACAATAAATTCTCCCAAATTGTCCCTCAGCTTCTAAAGAAAAATGGACAACTTGGAAAGAGGAGATACGACTACGCGAGCTTCGCGGCTCGTTTTTATTGTCTCCAATTGTCACTAACCATAAAAACGAACCGCGAGACTCGAATAATCGTATCTCTTCATCCCAAATTGTCTATTTTTGTTTCCAAGCTGAGGGTCAATTAGGAAGAATTTACTGTATCCCGAAAACCATTCATCGTGACAAAAGATTTATAATATGCGAATCCTGCGTTATCAATCAGAAATCTCATTGGTCAGTGTTCTTCGTTAATAACACGTAAACAAAGCCGCGGATTGCATTTTCGTTAAGGAAAAAGTTGCTTCGAATGTCCTCAAGAATCACTCCATTCCGGGCGTTAACATAATTATGGGACGCTTTGTATAATCTGTACATAGCGTTCCATAAACAAATGTCACAAAGCCAGCAGGAAACTTTGTATAATCTGTTCATAGTTTCCTGCTGGCTTTGTGACATTTGTTTTATCCGGTTATGCAAAGGATGTCGGGCTATAGCAGTGTGGCCAAACATCTTGGAAACCATTAATCGTGACAGAAAATTTACAATGAGCAGATCCTGCGTTACCAAAAATTCATGCGATTTCGCTGTATGATTTGCCTTCTTTATACCACTTCAGTATTAATTCTCTTACTGATTTGCTTGTTTCGGATTTCTTAGGATTCATTTTGTTTGTATTATTAATAATGAAAATTGCGACAGAAATTTTGAACACTGATTCCCTTGGACTAACTGCTAGTGAACTGAGCAATGTTTGTTTACATTCTGCGATCTTCGGGAATTCTTAATTGTCAGAGTTCGAATACTTTTATGAGCCATTTCTGGTACGTGTTTACAATAAATGTACCGTAAAAGCGCTATATATTGTCGAATTATTTTCTAACTTTGCCTACGCAGTCTTAAGACCCATCCCTTGTTATATGTGTCGTATTATATCAAATGCTTCAGTTCAACACATATACTACTGTGATCAAAAAGTCAGGTGAACTTGTTTATAAAATGTAAATTCTTTATTTATTCTTCCAAATCAATTTCATCCCCTTCAAAGTAATCCCCGTCCGATAAAACGCACTGTTTCCGACGCTTTTTCCAGTCCTCGAAACAGTCGGAATAGTCTTTTTCCGGTATAGCCTTCAAGACCTTCTTCGATTCGGTTTTTATCTCCTCAATCGTGTCAAAACGGCGTCCCCGCATCGGCCTTTTGAGTTTGCTGAATAACCAGAAGTCGCACGGAGCCAAATCAGGCGAATACGGTGGTTGCGGAACGATATGAGTCGAGTTTTTGGCAAAAAAGTCGCGAAGAACCAATGCAGTATGACATGGCACCAATCGAGACTTGACGCGTTTGAGACACAAAACATCCTTCAAAATGGTTTGGACCGAGCCAAATGATATTCCAACACTATCAGCGAGGTCTCTCATTGTCAGTCAACGATTTTCAAGCACCAAATCTCCGATTTTTTTGGACGTGGCCCTCGTCGGTAGACGTTGATGGTCGTCCAGAGCGCGGTTCG